TTCGTGCGAAAGGGTTGTCGGGGACACCTCAAACTCGCAATTTTTCCTCACTTTTTGACGTTCAACGTCCATTTCGTGCGAAAGGGTTGCGATGGACACCTCAAATCGCCATTTTTCCTCAATTTTTCACGTCCAACATCCATTTTGTGCGAAAGGGTTGTCGGGGACACCTCAAACTCGCAATTTTTCCTCAGTTTTTCACGTCCAACATCCATTTCGTGCGAAAGGGTTGTCGGGGACACCTCAAACTCGCAATTTTTCCTCAGCTTTTCACGTCCAACATCCATTTCGTGCGAAAGGGTTGTCGGGGACACCTCAAACTCGCCATTTTTCCTCAATTTTTCACGTCCAACATCCATTTTGTGCGAAAGGGTTGTCGGGGACACCTCAAACTCGCAATTTTTCCTCAGTTTTTGACGTCCAACGTTCATTTCGTGCGAAAGGGTTGCGATGGACAAAGTTAAATCGCAATTTTTCCTCAGTTTTTGACGTCCAACGTCCATTTCGTGCGAAAGGGTTGCGTTTCGTGGCGCTCCGGCGGCACCGCCCCCGCCTTAAGAGAGAATAGAAAGAAGAGCGCGAGGAGATTTGCAGATGTGAAGGTGTGAAGATGTAGATCTGCAGATGTGAAGGTGTGAAGATGTAGATCTGCAGGTGTGAGGGTGTGAAGATGTAGATCTGCAAATGTGAGGGTGTCAAGATGTAGATCTGCAGATGTGAAAGTGTGAAGATGTAGATCTGCAGATGTGAAGGTGTGAAGATCTAGATCTGCAGGTGTGAGGGTGTGAAGATGTAGATCAGCAGATGTGAAAGTGCGAAGATGTAGATCTGCAGATGTGAAGGTGTGAAGATCTAGATCTGCAGGTGTGAGGGTGTGAAGATGTAGATCAGCAGGTGTGAGGGTGTGAAGATGTAGATCAGCAGATGTGAAGGTGTGAAGATGAAGATTGCAGGTGTTGAGGGTGTGAGATGTAGATCAGCAGATGTGAAGGTGTGGAAGATGTCGATCAGCAGATGTGAGGTGTGAGATGTACAGTAGATCAGCAGGGTGAGGGTGTTTGTGAAGATTGTAGATCAGCAGATGTTTGAGGGTGTGAAGATGTAGATCAGCAGAATTGTGAGGTGTGAAGGATGTAGATCAGCCGATGTGAGGTGTGCAAGATGTAGATCAGCAGAGTGAGGGTAGTTTTGAAGATTGTAGATCAGCCAGATGTGAGGTGTGAAGATGTAGATCAGCAGAGGTGAGGGTTGTGTGAGACTAGACTCTGCAGGGTGAGGGTGTGAAGATGTAGATCAGCAGATGTGAAGGTGTGAAAGATTGTAGATCAGCAGAGTGAGGGTGTGCGATGTAGATCGGCAGATGTGAGGGTGTGAAGATGTAGATCAGCAAATGTGAGGGTGTGAAGCTGTAGATTAGCAAATGTCAGGGTGTGAAGATGTAGATCAGCAGGTGTGAAGGTGTGAAGATGTAGAGGGTGTGAAGATGTAGATCAGCAAATGTGAGGGTGTGAAGATGTAGTTCAGCAGATGTGAAGGTGTGAAGGTGTAGATCAGCAGATGTGAGGGTGTGAAGATGTAGATCAGCAGATGTGAGGGTGTGAAGATTCAGCTCAGCAGATGTGAGGGTGTGAAGATGTAGCTCAGCAGATGTGAGGGTGTGAAGATGTAGATCAGCAGATGTGAGGGTGTGAAGATGTAGATCAGCAAATGTGAGGGTGTGGAGATGTAGATCAGCAAATCTGAGGGTGTGAAGATGTAGATCAGCAGATGTGAGGGTGTGAAGATGTAGATCAGCAGATGTGAGGGTGTGAAGATGTAGATCAGCAGATGTGAGGGTGGGAAGATGTAGATCAGCAGATGTGAGGGTGTGAAGATGTAGATCAGCAGATGTGAGGGTGTGAAGATGTAGATCAGCAGATGTGAGGGTGTGAAGATGTAGATCAGCAGATGTGAAGGTGTGAAGATGTAGTATAACGGCTGCTTTATTACGAAGAACCCTTCGCAGGCGCTCTCGGGAAAAAAAACGTGGCTCACATAAAACCGACATGTTACGTATTGCTACGTGGAAGCGTTGAACTTGACACTCTGACATTGACAAAGTGGACATGTTCACCGCTGCCGAGATGCCCAAGGGACGCCGAGACGTGGTGAAGAGGGTAGCATCACCTGGGCGTCCCGAGACACGATTCGACAGCTGGCTATCCTGATGCAACTGATTTACTATATATGTCCATTGTTATCTTCAAGGCTATTGAAATAATGAAACCACGAATGAAACTATATGAAACTAGTGAAAATGGTAACTTTTCCTAGCCAGGCTTTGTTCCACCCTGGAAACTGCTAGGGGAGTGTCTGATGTGCCTGTGATTTTGGCTGCTGCTGTTCTGCAGTCTCATCGCGATTTTGCATGTCACTCACAGGTTGTATCAAACTCTCAGCTGGAGATAACCTCGAAAGTTATGTCCCCTGGTGCACAACTTTGTTGTTCATATTGGCCTGACTTTTCGTACCTACTAGTAACATCAACTTGAGCCATCAACCACTTTGCAGTGCCCAACCTGCATCGCTGTAGTTTGCTGCTCGTTGGGCAACTCCCTCCAACCTAAGTGATGCACAACTGACTCCGTGCTCAACCTTGGACGCACACTTTGCATTAGCCAAAAACACATGATGCGTATAGCAGGTGCACTCATGCACTGTGCAAATGCTTTCAAAGAAATGTACAGTAGTGCGCCAGGTTGTAAAATTTTATGAACGCAGGCTCTCTTTTTGATGCACAAACGTTGCAAACAAGGGAGTCTGCATTACCATGGGTCTTACAGCATGGAGGAAATGCAATCTCTTGTAGTCACACAAAACACCGACTCACACAGGCATACGAAAACATTGTTTCAACATGTTTGAACAAACGATCCCGTTACAACATGTTACAACTATTGAAGCCCAATTGTTGAAATGATCTGGCATTTGTAAAAGGATGCCAATGAGCCGTTGCCCTTTAATTTCAGGCAATGCAAAAACATGGAATGATTAAGGACGGGACGTCAAATGACGTCAATCACTCATATGTTCGACCTCTATCTGTATCTACCTCTTCTTCAGCGCAGGTTTGGCTCAAGCCAACCAGCTCAAGCCACAAACTGGAGAAACTGGTGGCTCAAACATGTCCTAAGGTCCTAGCTGCCATGACTTCAGGATTCTCTCCACCCATTCATCACCATTCAGCACCCATCTTGGATCATCTTGGATCATCTTGGCGCCCGGACTTTGCAAGTCGCAACTCCAAATTCGCATCTTCCAACTTCTTCAGTTTCTTCTCCAAGGATTCCAGCGAGTCCTTGGACCATAGTGCCACAGTCGTTGGAGCTTTGACCAATTTGAAATGTCTTGAAGAGTCCTCCTAAAGAATCCCAAACATTGGCCCAAACATTGGCCCAAACATATCAAACATGCAGGAATATGCAGGATATTTTGGCTATTTGGGGAATTAATCAATCATATTAAACAGATTCATGCTGAATGATGCATGCCTGCTTGTGCATGCAGTAGAACTCACGTCAGGAAGGAACTCACAAGAGCACAATCGGAGCACAAGTTGGTACGCTGACAAGTGGCAAGCCAACGGGTACCCAAAATTTGTGCGGTCTCAATTTGTTTTTGCACGGTTTCCCACAACTCCTACAAGGTCCTACACCTCATGTCAATGTGTAGTAGAAATCAGTCTCGACCTGTTTATGCTGAACTCTCCAACTTTGAACTCCAACAGCAAAATCCATCCGAGGCCTTAATGGGAATCAAATCAAATGCATCTCCGATTCAGAATCACTGAGCCGACAAGCAACGATGTTAGTGATTCCACGCTGGCTAACCTGCGCAAATCCCAGTTGTGGGTAAAGGACTGCTACTTGGATTGCCACGGAGCTGGGCCAAATGATTGACGATGGAGAAGTTGCTGTGTCTCTTCATTTTTCCATTTTTTTTCCTATCTATTTCTTCCATGGCTCCGCTTGAGCATGCTAAAAACATCTACCCCAAGCTTGCTGAACTTGCTGAACTTCTTCACATCTCTCCACATTCTCCACATTCTCCACACCTTTCATTCTTCCAACCCTCCCCATTTTTGGCGGCCTCGAGTTCTCTTATTTGCTGGGTGTCCTGGGCCAGGTGTTCCATGGTGTTCCTTGTTTGTCCATCCCAATCTCCCATAACTCCCCGCTACCGCGCTACCATGTCCTCTAGGCGCTTGTTCATCTCCAGCATCATATCGGACTGAACCTGCGACAAGGCGGACGATTTTGCATAGCATGAAATGCGAAACCTCTCAAGCAGAACAACACAGAGTCCGGCAAAAACATGCAAAAATAATGTGTGCTGATGGATGCCAACATGTGTTTGTTTGAATTCCAAATCTTGCAGCAAATCTTTGATAAAGCATGATAAAACCAAGGTTGAAGTGCCAGTAAAATTCAGTAAGGTACCAGTGGCATCCAGTGCCACAAGTCCGTGGGGGAACTGGCTGCTTCGCCGGTGGCATCCGGTGGCCTTTGCCATTTGACGCCTCATATCTGCACGAATGTCGGCGTCCATGTCACCCACCTTGGTGCAGTTCACAATGTCAGCACTCAAACAATCGTCCATCACCTCGAGACCATAAGCTTCACTGATGCGAGCATCCATGTATCTAGATGTATCTAGAATTATCAATGAATTATCTAGATGTATCTAAGAATCTAGATGTGCATGAATCCATCTACTGTGTGTTAGGGGACAGGATAATTACTGAGTTCCTCACGGTGCTTGCCAGGATCCTCTGAGATTCCATGCCCAGGGTGACATCCTTCTCTGCCAACTGGCACAGCAAGGCTTGGTGTGAGTAACATTGAGTAACCATTGTCCCAAGATGTCTCCAACCTGCAAGCCTCTCTTGGTGCGACAAAAATTGAATGAGGGAATTTGGCTTGGTGTGTGGCTGGCACATTTTCTTGAACCCTTGAACGCCGTTGAACGCCTGAACGCCCATAAGCTTGCAGCTCTTAGTGGATTTTCTTTATATTTTTTGATTCTTAGGAGCACCAAACACGGCTCTGAATCCAAGGTCAGGAGCACCTTCTTTGCCTGCTGAGCCATGTTTTCAGCTTTTTCCACAGCCAACTTCAAGGCCAACATCTCTTCGTTGTGCTTTGGCAACTCAGCGTCAGGAAACGAGTCCAGGAATCAGTCACTGCATGGTGTGGTCAAGTGATGTTCAGGACCTTGGAGTTGAAGAGTACTAGTAACTTGGATGTTGCTGGACCTTGCAAGCCCTCAGACTTCCTTTATTTCCTTTGGCTTAGTGGCATAGTGTTTACATGTGTTTTCCCTATGCTGATCACTGCAATGCTCTAATGACATATCGACAATTGTGCTTTGGGTCACAACCATACCATCAAATATCTGTTCATTCGACTATCATTCCATCTCCCATTGCTGGCACTGCGAAAGCAACAGCCAAGCCACATTTTGAATTGAAATTTGAATACCGTCCTCAGCATGTGCAGATGGACCATGCCTTCTGGTGTGGGCATGTGGGTGTCACACTGGAATATTTTTTTTATTATCCCAGTGTCTATGACCTACACTGGAGCCATTATTATTCTGAGGTGATCCACATCCAGAATAATTTGGTTTTTTAAAATGCAGATTTCATCTCCAGGTTTGTTCAAGTATGATCTAAAAACCATGTAAACATTCGACCCAAAAACCATCTAAACATTCGAATCTTGTGTGATCAGTTGGAATGCAAAATGCTTGTCGCAGTCTCAGGCTCCGTTTCGCGAAAAAAATCTGAACCAGTTCCAAAAGTTGTATCTAATTGTTAGGCCACCTGGTGTCCCACTCGTTCTCGCGTCATTTTGTCCTATTGCGAATTTCTGAACGGCATCTTGTCTTTTGTAACTTGAACCCGTGATGTATCTTGTACAATCCTACAACTTCTATTTCTAGCTTGACCAAGAAAGATCGAGAAACTTTAAAACCTAATTTAGCAAGTGACCTGAGGAACCGTTTCTTGACGCCAAGAAACCAATCTCAAGGTCACTTGTAAAAATTGGGTTTGAAAATTTGAAATCCTCTTGACTTTTGCTGGCAAAATGACGGAAGTCGTTTTGAGGGATTTTGCATGAGTAAGAAAGCGAAAATGCATTGATCACCAACCTTCTTCCCCCAAAATTCTATCTCCGAAACCACCCGTATCCTCACCTGCACGCGTGTAAATATATTCTTGCTGTCAACATATGTTTGGCACCCTTGTTGATCCCTGTTGTATATAGGTTTAACCTGTAACTTAGATAGCTTGTGACTAGCCACATATTTTTCTGGGCTCAAGGAATGTCAAGGAATACAGGACGTTGTGTTGATGTATTGTCAATGATTTTCAAATCAACATGCAGTGACCCTCAGCCCTTTCCCACCAATATTCTACCTCCGAAACCACCCGCATCCTCCACCTGCGGGTGTCAAGATTACTCCTGGTGTCAACATACCTCTAGGACCCGTGCTTTACAGAGGTGTAGCCTGCAGAGTCGCTTGCGCAGTTTGTAAATTGCTCAAGCCCTCTCTGCCTGGTTTCAAGGATGTGCAAAAAGGTCTCGAGCCATGTGTTTAACATTGCTTAACACTGTTTAACGCGGAATTCAACAGCCCAAGATGTTTGCTCACGTTTTTTCACCGATTTTCAAACGACAATGCAATGATCATCAGCCCTCTTCCACCCAGAATCTACCGCCGAAAAGATCTGCAGAAAGGTCTCGAGCTATGCATCCAACATGGTTGAATGCAGAAGCACACAGGGAAAGTAATGCAAGATGCTTTTCCACACATGGCAAAGAGCAATGAGCTGAAAATGGGCTGATCATCAAGCCTTGTCCATCAATATTCTACTTCCGAAACCACCAGCATCCTCCTCCACCTGCACGCGTCAAAATTATTCCTGGTGTCAACACATGTCTGGCACCCCTGTGCTGTAGAGGTCTAACCTGCAAAGTGGCCTGCTCTGTCTGTAACTAGCTAAAGACTAAAGACCATCCTTTTTTCTTGTTTACAGTATGTGCAGAAAGGTATCGAGACGTGTGTTTAACATCGTTTAACATTCTTTGATGCAGAATTCAACAGGGAAAGCAATGTAAGATACTTTTCCATAAGTTTGAACGAATTATGAAATAAGAATGAATTGATCTCCAACCCTTTTCCACCAATATTCGATCTCCAAAAACCATCAGCATCCTCCACCTGCACGCATCTAAATTATTCCTGGTGTCAACACATGTCTGCCACCCGTATTTTGTGGAGGGTTAACCTGCAAAGGCATCAGTATTCTACTTCCGAAACCACCAGCATCCTCCTCCACCTGCACGCGTCAAAATTATTCCTGGTGTCAACACATGTCTGGCACCCCTGTGCTGTAGAGGTTTAACCTGCAAAGTGGCCTGCTCTGTCTGTAACTAGCTAAAGACCATCCTTTTTTCTTGCTTACAGTATGTGCAGAAAGGTATCGAGACGTGTGTTTAACATCGTTTAACATTCTTTGATGCAGAATTCAACAGGGAAAGTAATGTAAGATGCTTTTCCATAAGTTTGAACGAGTTATGAAATAAAAATGAATTGATCTCCAACCCTTTTCCACCAATATTCGATCTCCAAAACCATCAGCATCCTCCACCTGCACGCATCTAAATTATTCCTGGTGTCAACACATGTCTGCCACCCGTATTTTGTAGAGGGTTAACCTGCAAAGGCATCAATATTCTACTTCCGAAACCACCAGCATCCTCCTCCACCTGGACGCGTCAAAATTATTCCTGGTGTCAACACATGTCTGGCACCCCTGTGCTGTAGAGGTCTAACCTGCAAAGTGGCCTGCTCTGTCTGTAACTAGCTAAAGACTAAAGACCATCCTTTTTTCTTGTTTACAGTATGTGCAGAAAGGTATCGAGACGTGTGTTTAACATCGTTTAACATTCTTTGATGCAGAATTCACCAGGGAAAGTAATGTAAGATGCTTTTCCATAAGTTTGAATGAGTTATGAAATAAAAATGAATTGATCTCCAACCCTTTTCCATCAATATTCGATCTCCAAAACCATCAGCATCCTCCACCTGCACGCATCTAAATTATTCCTGGTGTCAACACATGCCTGCCACCCGTATTTTGTAGAGGGTTAACCTGCAAAGGCATCAATATTCTACTTCCGAAACCACCAGCATCCTCCTCCACCTGCACGCGTCAAAATTATTCCTGGTGTCAACACATGTCTGGCACCCCTGTGCTGTAGAGGTCTAACCTGCAAAGCGGCCTGCTCTGTCTGTAACTAGCTAAAGACTAAAGACCATCCTTTTTTCTTGTTTACAGTATGTGCAGAAAGGTATCGAGACGTGTGTTTAACATCGTTTAACATTCTTTGATGCAGAATTCAACAGGGAAAGTAATGTAAGATACTTTTCCATAAGTTTGAACGAGTTATGAAATAAGAATGAATTGATCTCCAACCCTTTTCCACCAATATTCGATCTCCAAAAACCATCAGCATCCTCCACCTGCACGCATCTAAATTATTCCTGGTGTCAACACATGTCTGCCACCCGTATTTTGTGGAGGGTTAACCTGCAAAGGCATCAGTATTCTACTTCCGAAACCACCAGCATCCTCCTCCACCTGCACGCGTCAAAATTATTCCTGGTGTCAACACATGTCTGGCACCCCTGTGCTGTAGAGGTTTAACCTGCAAAGTGGCCTGTTCTATCTGTAACTAGCTAAAGACCATCCTTTTTTCTTGCTTACAGTATGTGCAGAAAGGTATCGAGACGTGTGTTTAACATCGTTTAACATTCTTTGATGCAGAATTCAACAGGGAAAGTAATGTAAGATGCTTTTCCATAAATTTGAACGAATTATGAAATAAAAATGAATTGATCTCCAACCCTTTTCCACCAATATTCGATCTCCAAAAATCATCAGCATCCTCCACCTGCACGCATCTAAATTATTCCTGGTGTCAACACATGTCTGCCACCCGTATTTTGTAGAGGGTTAACCTGCAAAGGCATCAATATTCTACTTCCGAAACCACCAGCATCCTTCTCCGCCTGCACGCGTCAAAATTATTCCTGGTGTCAACACATGTCTGGCACCCCTGTGCTGTAGAGGTTTAACCTGCAAAGTGGCCTGCTCTGTCTATAACTAGCTAAAGCCCCTCCATTTTTCTGGCTTACAGGATGTGCAGAAAAGTTTCGAGACGTGTGTTTAACATCGTTTAACCTTCTTTGATACAGATTCAACAGGGAAAGTAATGCAAGATACTTTTCCATAAATTTAAACGAGTAAGGAAATAAAAATCAATAGAAATCAATTGGTCATCACCCTTTTTCCCCAATATTCGATCTTCAAAGCAATCAGCATCCTCCACCTGTACGCATCTAAATTATCATGTCCGGAACCCGTGTTTTATCATCGCCCCTGCAATTACAGGGGGTCCTTGGTACCTCTGATTCTGGAAAGAGTTACAGGGCGTATTCAAGCCTAAACAAACAGGGATGCCAGACATGTCCTGACACAAGGAATAATTTTGACGCGTGCAGGTGGAGGACGCGGGTGGTTTCGGAGGTAGAATATTGGTGGAAGAGGGTTTATGATCATTGTAAGTTGACTTGAAATTCATTCAAAACGCATCAGAACAACATCCTTCATTCCTTAACTTCAAAAAAAAAAGCCGTAGCTAGTCCTATGTAAGCTACAGATTAAACTTATACAAAACAGGGGTGCCAGACATGCGTTAACACCAGGAA